GGGGAGAATATGTTAGAATTGTTCATTTTAACCTTTGTCTGTTTTGATCAATTGTTTGGCTTGTTCAAATCATGTCTTTTTTGTTTTAGTATATAAGTTTTACACCACTTGCAGCGCAATTAGGTCATAATAAGTGCTGAAGATTAGAGGTGTCACAGTTACAAACACACACACACACACACACACACACAAAGAAGCAGGAGAGACTAGGGCAACTGATATTTGATAGGAAAGAAGGGGCAAACCACACCAGAGCAGCCTCCAACCACCCACCACTTACATCTATCACACTATATTTTTTTAATAATGATAAACAGCCGTAATCAAGCACTTTTTTAAACATCATAACGCCAGTACTTCTCAGTCTCAATGTTTATCACGTAACTTAAGCCGTTTTTCCTAATAGTCGAGGTCTTCAAATTTCTTATAATAATAATAACAATGATGATAATAGTAATCATAGTTGTAGTAGTAATAATAATAATAACAACGATGATTATTATCATTATCATAATAATTATAATGATGATGATGATGATGATGATGTTGATGATAATAATGGGACAAACGGATCGCCAACCGATTCCCCGATTTGCGGCCCGATTTTATTGTTGAGGCTGCGAGTCGGGCGATCGGTTTGTGCCAAGTTGGTTGCTTTGCGCCCTCAATCTGGCTAGCCCCGCCTTCCAAACCGAACCGAACCGATCGTGTCAATGGGCGTTACGGGGTGCCCACTACTGAAGGATCGGGCCGATTGCCCGACTCGATCGCCTGAAACTGAAAACAAACACGTTTGTTTTTGAGGCGATCGAGTCGGGCGATCGGGCCGATCAGCCGATCCCATCCGTAGTGGGCACCCCGTATTAGGCTAGACGGTCAGAGAACAGGCCGCCTTGTCGGAAGTAGGTCACAGGGAGATAGAGGCCCAGGGCAGACAAAGTGTAGTGCAGAATAGGTGAGAGGGTGTACTGTGAGAGCATCACGCCGTGTGCTTGATTAAACAAGGGTCCAAAACAACGGCATTAACGGTATATAACTTTTTTACGCGACTATTACTTTCAAAAGGGCATCGAAAATAAATGTTAATGCTTTAACTGAAATAAAAAGCAAACTTAAATCTTAGAAAGAGAAAGTAGCAGAGGTGAGTGTATAGAGGCAGGTGGTAGTACACAGGAAGGTATTCATTGTAGTAACTATGTTGCTATCTTTGTGAGGATATCTATTAAGCGGCAAACATAAAGAACAATAGTATAAGAACGTATAGACGTTAGGCTACCGGACTCGTAATCGTGAGATTTCGGGTTCGGGGGTTCCAGCCTAGGCTCGGTGCGACGTTGTGTCCTTGAAAAAGGTACTTTGCATAAATTTCCCCTTTTGGCTGGGTCCTTTCGGAGATGAACGTTAAACTCGGAGCTCCCGCCTCTTCTATAACTAAGTTCACCACTTAGAGCCATCACGTGGATATTCTGTCCTGTGCACTCTGGAGTGACTGGCAATGAGGAGGCTGATAGGCTGGCAGGCAGTGCCGTGGTTGATGGTGAGATAAAATTTGACAAAGGAGATGCGTTGAAGACCCTGGAGAAAAAGTTGCGGGATGGAGAAGACAGGGAGACAGCAGAACACCACGCAATCATTAGGATGCGGGAAATGGGGATAGAGAGGGGAGAAGGAAGAAAGGAACGATTATCTGGAAAGGAAAGACGTCGCCATAATCAGACAGCCACTGAAACAATCAGTACGGAACCTTGCGGGCTTTGGTGCTGGGGGAAACTGAGCACTTATGGACATGTCCGGTGTGCAATGACGTTGTTGCCCAGGACAGGTAAATAACTAATAATTTTGATAAGGGAGTTGAACCTGTACTATATTACTAATTACCTTCGGTACAATTCTGTCCCTCCCACTTTCCAGAGACGCATGCGCACGAGTAGGAGTCGTTGAGGCTGGTGCACGTGCCGCCATTTTGACAAGGGTCGCCATGACAGTAGTCCGCTGTGAACAAGGGTAGAAAGAAGGGTAGAAAGAACTCTCAGAATGCATTTATTATTGTATTTCCAATGTAGCAGGGATGTCAAATCTCCGGGGTTTTCTGGCTTTTTTCAGGTTTTTTCATACACTTTCAAAGGAAAGAGGAGAGATAAGAGAGATGGTTTTGTTTGCTCATTTAAAAACTTTACAAGGTTCGTTTTGGATGAGATGTGATGCATTTTTAGTTGTTTTTTTAAATCAAAAAATATTTGGCATCCCTGAATGTAGGTACGTGTTTTTACGCCCCCCCCCCCAATCCCCTATTGACACAATCAATTTAGATCCTTTTGGAAGCGGGATTCGACCCTCAAGATTGACAGGGCCAAACCCAGGCTGGGAGAGATACCATCAGAAACAAAGACAGGGATACTTTATGAGAATTCTGGGATGTGGCATTCCAGTGGAAGGACGGAGATAATCAATATTATCAAGTTTGACTAAATTTTAAAAAAACATAACAAACAAACAAACAATAAAAAAAACAATAACAAAGAAAACAAACAAAGCAAAACGAACCCTTCCTGCAAGAAAATTGAGCTCACATCTTTCAAATATTACACCACTGACGCCGTTGAAAAGGCTGTTCATCATTACAGAGCTCAAAATAATTTTAATTTTAATTAATTTTTTCGGTTTTCTGTAGTAAATACATTTTGATAAAGACTGAACGATGTCTTTTGTGGCACCAAAACAAACTGTCCCCAGACGGAGACATACCGGATATGGGAATTATGACGTAACGATCTGGGTACGAGAGTTTGTGGTGAAGGCAGCAGAGATTCAATGACTGAGTGAGAGGGAGGGGGGGGGGGGGGAAA